TGCCTTTTTGCAGTGCGGGAGCCCTGAAGTGATCGCTGGGTGAGGGCCAACCGCGGTTGCCGCCTCCCCCAAGGTCGCCCCGCTTGCCATCAGTTTGGGGGGGCGGTCCTTTCCGGGGGGGCTCCTTTTGGGGACATCGCCCTGCCCCCCCGTTGTAAAAGGGCCCCCGCTATTGACGGGGGGGAGGGGGTCCTTGCCAATTTCGCCCTCAACCGCATTGCAGATTTGGCAACGCGCCTAGGGGGGTCCGACATCAATGGAGAGGGAACGGTGGGGGGCCATTCGGCCTTTTATGTGGGAGCATGCCCCTTTCCCCCCGGGCCGGTTAACATTTTCGGGGGTAAGGGGGTAGAGCCTTTTGGGGGCAAAAGCCCCCCCCCCCCCCTAGCCCCCCCCCTAGCCCCCCCCCCCCCCCCTGAGCCCTTGTGCGGTACACGGACTAGTACGGAAACACACATGAAGACCGCGAGAGCCGTGAGAGCCGAGCGAGAGAGTGAGAGAGGTGGCGATCTCGCGGGGCGTGAGAGCCGCAGAGCCCCAGCCCACGCCACTCGCCAGGGCCCAGCCCCAGGGGCGGCCAGGCGCCCGGAAACCCGCGGGTTCCGGCTGAAGCTTTGCTGTATACACCTCTCGCACCCCGGAGCGCGGCGACGAGTCACGACACACGAGAGGCGGAGCGCGAAAATTAGACGATTCACCGATACGCTTACTGACACGTCACACAAAAGTACAGTCAACTATCTCTCCACACTCCAGTCTGGCACAATCACTATCCGTCCGAAAAGCGGAGCGTGCGGGCTGTCGGCGGCGACGGCGCTCCTTCGTTGAGCAACTCGTCGAGAGCAGCCTCGCCCTCCGCGTCGTGGCCGTCGGCGGGCTCGTAATCCTCTCGGCGGAGGGCCGATGGTGCTGCGTCGGGCGTACCAAGCGCGAGGCCTCGAAGCGCCGAGCCTGCTGGCGAGACGGCGGAGCAGGAGGGCAACGAGGATGGGGTGCCGTGGGCGGAGGGGGCGGCCGTCGCCACGCTGCTGCCCTGGCTGAGCTCGTCCTCCATCTCGGCGCCGGCTGGTGGGAGCGCGCCACGCATCTTGGCCAGGAGCGCATTGATGCCCTCGACCTCCTCCGCGGTGTACTGAGGCGCGCTCTCCTCGGATGGGTCCGGGCGGAAGCCTCCACCGCCCCACACGGCGTCATGCAACGCCCAGAACCGGCTGGGCAGCTGCAGGCGCTGCCGCGCCCGCGTCACGGCGACGTACCACGAGTTGAGCTCGTCGCCTGCTCACAGCTAGACAGATCAAGAGACGGCAGCTCCAGCTGCGCTGACG